CAAAGAGCCTCTAGGCTCTGGACCTCGGCCGTTTAACGGCAACAGCAGCGTGCGCTTCACGCCGCTCACTCGCGAGGAAGGGCTCTCGTGTGTGCGCCAGACGCTCCAGCTCATTAACAACGCCCGCGTCCTCTACGCTAGCGACGCGCAGTACCATAACCGCACCAAGTTCCTCGGTTGGTCGCAATACACGCTGCGCCAGGGCTCCACCATCACGTTCTCAGTGAAAAAATCACTGAAGAACGTGACGCCGGCGCAGCTCATGGCCACGACGTGGCACTTGCTCACTGACGGGAAGAGGACTCAGAAACTGATTCCGTCGACTGTCAACACGCACATCCGGCCCTTACAGAAGCTATCGGACGATCTCCTTGTCATTGATCGCCGCAGCGAGGACAACGCCCGCTCCGGCGTCATGGGCAACAAGCTCGCACTGCGTACAGTGTACGTTCTGTTCCGTGTAGCGGAGGCGGACGGTACTCAGACGCTGGCCATGAAGACCATCAACTTGCCGCTGGTCAAGAAGCTGCTGCGGGCCGACGAGCAGTGGTGCGAGATCTTCTACTGGATCCGCATCTCGCCCGACGGCTCAGTGCGAACCAGCACGGGTGAATATGCTACTGTGACGGAGTTCGGCGGCTCCAACACGTACACGCGCGACGAGATCGCCAAGGCGTGGCTCGGCGAGCTCGTGTTCCTCGCCATCCGCTGGGAGTCGCTGGCTGTGGCGCCCACCCTTCTCAAGTTTTAAGCAAATGTGTTGAAGTGAAAAGTGAAGTGATAAGCAACAAGCAAATGCACAGTGTGTTTTATTCAAGACCGGCGTTATAGCGACCGTCATCGAGTTCTTCGCAAGTCGATTCACCTAGTTGCGTCAGATTGGGGCAAGAGCACCACCGGGGCGACATTGTGGGATTCCCAGCGCATCACCATGAAGAAAATCTCTCGCTGCCAGCGACGTGCAAACTCCTCCGAGTGGCCATCAATTGTGCCACCAAAGCGCACGCGACAGCCACTTTCACCAGTTGCAGCGGCTGAGAATCCCATCCACATGAACGACTCGAACCAGAGGTTATTGGCACAACCACAGCGCCGTGTAAACGATGGATTCACCGACTGCAGCGCCACGAACAGCCCCGCAGGCGACGCCATGCGGTACAGTAGATAAATGGTGCGATACTTGGTCGGCGTCTGCTTTTCACCCTCGGGACTAAGCTCCTGTTGCATTCGACGCACCACGACAATATCGTCGTTTATTTCGTGTAGCACTTCTAACTGCAATGCGTGGAGCACAGGCTCCAGCAACATGGCAAACTGCCGCTGGTTACGGAAGAAAGCCCACGTTTTGTGAAACAATTGGCCGGGCGAGTGACCAGCGAACGTTTTGTCGAATGCGAACTCCACACACGTGTTGTCTTTTACCAGCGCCCTCCGTTGCTGTCTCCAGCCCATCATATCTCCGCTCGGTTGGTCGGGCTTCACATTTGCAATTGCGGTGTAAAATCTCGCAATTTCACTTGTTGCATCTTGCACAAGTTGCAAACAGTGGCCGATAGTGCCGATGTCCCACGTGACAAAGTCACACAAAGTCACGGGGTCTCTCTTCACCACGGCTCCACTGCCAGTATTCATGACGTAGAAGTTTTCTCCTGCATCCTTGTCACTATCAACTTGTCCAGCTACTCGCCGTTGCACTTTGTCATGCTCAAAGTTGCCTGGATGTGCCCTAGTGATGGCCAATAGCGAGTCCACAAGTTGAGCGTGTAGAGCGTCATTCTCGTCTAGAAGCTGCTGCTTTTGCTTCTCCAAAAGTGCGACATGGCCCTGCAGTCCAGTCTCTGAGAGCTGCTGCTGTTCCAGCGCTTGAGCCTTCACAGTTTCCAGCTCTTGAACTGTGCGCACCATTGCTGCAATTTGGTCCCTGAACCTCTGTCTAGACCGCCTCATGGTCTCCCGATGGCTAGCACGGCGTGCAGCAGCACGTTCCTCTGGCGAAAGCTTCTTTTTGACACTTTTGCGTGATTTTTTCGCAGTTTTTTCATTAGTTGCGGCGTTTTCCGCGTCGTTTTCCGCGTCGTTTTCCACTTTGTCGTTCTCTGTTGAAGACGCATTCGGGGAGCTCTGCTCGTCGCTAAGGACGTCCGGTGCGTCCGATAGCAAAGCGGACACGAAGGCCACTTCGTCTTCAGTCCATAGTGGAGCGGAGTGCAGAGGCGTCTCAAGGATGTCGATGTCCATTAGCGAAATCGAGGAAAACGAAATGATAATCGAGTGCGTGGCAAGAGCAAACCAGAGCCGACAATTGGTACCAAAAGTGCGGTACAAATGCGATGCGTCATCAAAAAATGGAGGATGCGACCAACATTCACATCCACTATTTAAATTAAAATTATTGTTCATGTAATGTTGTCGTCCTTGATTAAACCAATTATTTTTTATTCCCATTTTGCAGATCATGTCGCGCGGGTTTTCGCTGGGCGGCGCCACCTTCGCCTTCCACTGCCTGCCACCAGTCGAGTGCCGCGAACTGGCAGCTCTGCTGCACATCAACAACGGTTCGCTATACGATGCAGCAGACCCCGTAAAGCCCGATTTCATTTACCTTCTCACAAACTACTGGGCGGACTGCGAACCTGGTGCTTCTCTCGCCAACGTGCCACTACGTCTTGTGACGCGTTTCTGGCTGCAGGAGACGCTGCGGCTCGGGCGCTGGCTGCGTCCCGACAGCCACCCGTTCTTCGAGCCGCCTGCCAGACCTAGCAACCTGTGGCTGCAGTATCCTACCCAGTATCAAGATGCAGATCTGGACGACGTGGATGCCGATGGAGACGTCAACATGCAGGATCCCGGTCCTGCAGGATCAACAGGACACAAGATGCGACTGCCATGCTCACCCAGCTTCCTCTTTCGAGGCGAGGTGCCGCTCTGGCCTTACATCACGGCCATGTTGGCGCAGCCAATCCAGAATCTCCACGATCTTGCCACCAGGCTGCAACTGTACGGGCCCTAGACGTTGGCAATTAAGCTACAGAGAGTGATTGTTTAGTGCTGTGATTGCTACTGTACCAGGGTTACGCTGTCAGACCCGCGACGCCGATTTAATTGCCTGGAGTACGCACTGAATGAGGTTCGTGACGGTATCATTTGTATTTTTTTTTACTTTAAACTAACGTGAAGTTTTGTTCTTGTAGTTATTGACACAAGAGGAACAAACCAAGTTTTTCAAGACCGTGTTGCCGGAAATGGTGCGATTGGTGCTGCATTTGCCGCAAATGTTTGCAGCTCCACCGCCACTTTTGACTCCTCTAGAAGCCGAACAGATTGAAAGCAGTACTGGTAGTAGTTCCAAGGCTCGAGTGGCAACACAGATGCACCGGTTTACCAAGCTGGAGGCCTTGACTCTCGTGTGCGGCTGCTTTTTCGGCATTTTTCCCGACCAAGATATCGTCAAAAGCGTCCAATCTAATGGCAGTCCGCAGAGCAAGAAGGCAGGACGTCGCAATGACAACGACGTCGTCATTGAGTTCCCTTACTTCACAGCCGTTCGGATGTTCTCGGCGGCTGGTAATATGACCAAGTTGGTCGCACTGAAGGCGCAGAAGATTCGCTGTCTCCTGCAGTATTTCTTACGGGTAATCCCACGCGCACTCTCCGAGCGTACAGCACTTTCGACAGAGATTATCGACTTCACGCGTGTCGGCGTACACCTCCCACTTGCACAAGGAAGTAACGGCCCTCAAGACCTGCTCAAGTTGTTAACTACCCAAGATCTTCACCCTCAATTATACGCTGCACGATGTGTATCCGACGCTTTGATCGAAGATCTGGACGAGCATTTGCAGATTGATTTCGCCAACAAATTCGCCGGTGGAGGTGTGCTTAACTCTGGGTGCGTCCAAGAAGAGATCCGCTTCCTGCTTTCTCCCGAGCTATTGGTGTCGTGTCTGTTGTTCGCGAAACTGGAGCGCCACGAGGCATTTGTGATCCATGGAACGGAGCGCTACTGTGCGTATCAAGGATACGGCGGGTCGTTTGTCTATGGGGGCAACTTTGAGGACACGACAGCTTTAGTAACTTTACCGGACGGCTGCGTACGCCGGCAATGCGTTATCGTGGGCATTGACGCCACGGACTATAGCTCTGCGCGAATGGAAAAGCAATACTCGCGTGGCCACGTATGGCGCGATCTGGTCAAGGCGCACGCTGGGTTCGCATACCCAGATGCACATGATGACCATTATTCTTGGCCTGTTGCCACTGGCAATTGGGGCTGTGGCGTTTTCCGGGGCGATCGAGAACTCAAGTTTCTGATCCAGTGGCTCGCAGCTTCACTGCGTCAGCGTGAACTGGTCTACGTGTTGTTCGAGCGCGATCTGGATCTTCAAGCCAAAGTAGAGCCGTTGCTGACGCTCGCTACTTGTCCAAAGGCGATTGAGTGGGACCGTCAGAGTGGCGGAGTGATACAATGGCTCGCGGGATTTCTATTGAACGAGCTGAGTGCTGGTCGTGGGAGCGTATTGGCGCGTGCCTCGCGGTCGCTGGAGCAAGCGCTGGCAAAGCTGGAGCTACCCGAATCGAAGCAACAGGCTAAGACGTCGCCAGTGCTGGACACGAAACAGGAGCCTTCACTTGAAGTTGACGAGAACTCGGAGGCGACGAAGAAGAAGCCCAAAACGATGCACCAAATGACCATGCAAGACTTTTTTGCACCCAAGCAATGAATAAGCAGACTAAATAATTGAAAAGTGGGTTAACCTTCATCACCATAAAGTCCCAAGGCAAGCAAAACACGGAACACCACGACTTGTTTGCAGAATGCATTGGCCGGTCGCTTTAAAATCTACTTACACACAAAACGAGTCACATACCGAGGCCTGCCACGACGATGTAGTTGCTTCCTTGGTTAGGGGGGATTATTCCGTCTAGGAGAGTCTAGTTCGTTTAAGCCTTCTTCTGGATTATTTGGCTCTTGTCGTTGGTGCTGCGTTTGGCAGCTTCCGCGACTTTGTCGAAGGCTGCGCTGGACGTGTCCATGGCGATGTCGGTGGCTCGGTTGGCGACCAGCATGGGGTCGAGGATGGGGTCGTCGGCCTGCGCGAAGCTCATAAGGGCGACCACGAGTAGCGAAGCGACAGCGAAAAGGCGAACCATGGTGCTGCTTTATTTATTCTCTTTGTGTTGCGGTGAGGCTTGACGAATGAACTCTAGCGCAGGGTGGGGGACGCGGAATGTGCCATGCTGTCGGTAGCGGATGTGCTGTCGATAGGCAGATCGAGTAGAAAAAGTCGGCAAAACCTCCGGTAATTGGTACAACAACTGGATTCTACAGTTACATAACAAATAAAAGTATCAAAAGTAAGTTTCTTTTGTGAACGTCGACGAGTCTTTAACTTACATTATCAGTTTAAACAGTGATCAGCTTAAGAAGGGTTTAGTACAAGCCAAGCCTGAAGATTTCCACTCCGGTTTTCTGGCCACCAGACGGATCGAGGCAAGGCATCGATCCGAGCTTTGCCGCTGCGTTCCGACTTGAGTCCAAGCAGCAGTCCCCTACATACAACTTCGTGCAGTTGTGCCTGTTCATTTCATTTTGAAGTCACTTCAAGGTCACGCGCTATTAGGATAAACATCACGAGCCATAGGCGTGATATTTTTTGTCATTCTGCACCACAACGATAAAAAACTGAGAGTGATATCCTGTACTAGAAGAAAATACTCAAGCCGATTGTCAAAAGAGCGTTTGCATTAGGTATGCTTAAAAAAACTAGTGAGGAGTAAATCAAAGGAATCGGATCGTGTTGCACGCTGCAATAGACGTCGTCGGTCACAGCGTCGTGAGCTCACAGCGTGGTCCTTTTACACGAAGTTCGCAAGTAGACCGACAAAGGTGATCGCGGTGACACAGGCGGCCGAGAATCCGGGCGTCGCGTGAGTCGGGGCTGAGGACGTGGTTGAAGCGCCGTCCACCGAGCCACTGGCTGCGTTCCCACTGCTGGTCGACGGCGCAGTCGTGGTGACTGTAGTCCCTCCCGTCGTGCTGTTAGAGTTGGTCGTTGTTGACGCAGTAGTGATGGTGGAGCAGTCGTATGAGCCGTCAGTGGCGTTATTGTAGTTGTAGCAGGCTTCCAGAGCGGCGCTGGCAGCCGTCTGCGCGCAGTCGAGCGAGCTGTCCGTCGCATTATTGTAGCTCACACAGGCCTCCCCCGCAGCGCTAGCGGCCGCATCTGCAGCTGCACTTGCCGTGGACTCGTTGCAGTCCAAAGAAGCACTGTGCTCCGAATTGTACTCGTTACACGCTTCCTTGGCCGCGCTGGCCGCCGCCTGGTAGGCGTCTTCCGCAGCACTTGCAGCGTCGTGGTAGAATTCCTCAACGTTGCTGGCGGCGTTGTCGATCCAGCTTCCAGCAGCATCGGCAGCATCTTGAGCGGCGCTGGCAATTGCGTTCGCGGCATCTTCAGCAGCATTGGTAGCGTCTTGGATGATGTCGGCAGTCGTTGGGTTAGTGACAGCAACGGCAGCAAGCGCCGTAAGAGTCAAGTACGAGGTGAAGCGAACCATTGTGGTCGTAAAGTTGGGTAGAGGTGTCAGTGGTTGGTATTCGAAAGCAAATTGAGGAATGGTGCATGTTTGAGACCACGAAAGCAACGTCGTGCCGTCTCACCTAGGCTTACAGAGGACACATTCGAAGACCGATCTGATATTTGCGCACCATGTTCTCAAACAATACATGCACTTGAATTACGAACGACATGTTGGTTATGGCCACTTCTCTGAATACACTTGTGAGACGTTCGAGTTTACTTTGATGAGCAAGTCACTGCATCCGAGATAATCAAGACGTGAATAGGTACATGTGGTGTTTTATTGATTTGGACGGTCTTGTATCAAGACATGATCGCATCCATGCAAGTGTGTTGCGCTCTGCAGTAAACATGGCTTCGTGACTTTTATGGGTTGTTGTCCAGCGATGGCCACACGTACAGGTGCGACACAGCATCAATTGGCATTTGCGAAACATCGTAGTCGGCCGGATTTTCGAGATTGCTCCAGTATGCAGCAAAAGATCAACGTCAAGTTACATTGATGGCAAGCTCGCAGCTTGCATCTAATCTACCGACATTATCGTGCTTGTGAAACGCTTGGCAACCACACGATGTTGGTACACTGGGCTTGATCTAAAGGTAGCAGCAATAGATACTTGGTCGTGTGGCATGGTTGACGTGTCCAACAGCAACTGCGGTGTTAGACTACCGCCTTTATGGATCTCTGGGAGAAAATGTAGTGTCCAACGAGCGTTGCGATATCAATAAGATCGCACCTTGAGGAAGTGCCCCAATACAATAGTGTTCTCCAGGGATACGAAAGGTGAATTTCATAAAGATCCTTCATCTTAGCCCTTAATTGAGTTGAACAGCACGCATTGAGTCCACCTGAAATGAACGGGAGTGCACAACCAGCAACGCTTGGATTTTAGGACGTACTGCTGCTGTAATCTGGTTTAGCATGATATTGAGGATGCAGAGTTCCCGACTAGTGAAGTAGTTATTGCGTTGGATGCTGCTTTGTCTACAATGCGCTGTCTAGTAGCTGACACTGTCTGCATCGTGCTCTCATTTCTTGGATTGTGTCGCTGTAGTCGTCACCAGGGAGTGATAGTCCTGTTTCAGGGATATCGATTTCAAAGCTGATGATGTAGCCGAAGGAGAAGCCCCAGGAAAAGCCTTTTATTGGCATGCTCAACGGAGCATCGAAGCACCGCAGAATAGGTGACTTAACCGTCGCTAGTAGCGTTTCCTTCTGGTTGTTCAGCAGAGCGAGAGGCTACATGTACGGTTGCACATACCACCTACGGTGTCTTGGGATTGCTTTTGTTTCTTGGTGCCAATACTGGATAGGGAATAGGAAAATGGCGGAAGTCATTTTTTTTTTGTGATGCTCCGGATTCAACCACCAATGAATCCAAAAAAGAGTCCTAAGGAGGACCCAACCTACAGTTATTTGGAGTACCAGCAACGAAGATTGACGCGAGTCTTCAGCGTGAGCTTAACAACAATCTCTTTCCTTTTCTGTTGCTTTTAACCCCCCCCTGAATGCCTGGATTAGGCAGACGTTGCTTTCAGAGAGCAAGCAGATCCATCAGTTCTTAGTTGTCAACATCACTGACAGAAGAAGTACCTTGAGTACGCTACGGTGATCCAACAACTAATCCAGATCGACCGTCGCAGCGATGGTTGACACGAAAATGAAGAAGGTCGCGCTGATGTTGCATCTTTTTGTGCCTACAAATTTACTACTTCGAAGTACTTAGCAGAGCGCACACGTCATCATTAATCAAAATTTGATTATCTTCGACTTGCAGTCCTCGATTAAAAAGTGATCAGTTAGTTTCCATCGGATTTTACGTTGAGATTGCCTCCCATTCTGAAGACTGATCTCTGTAGTAAGCGTGCATTACATGTAGTGGTTCAACTGTATTATAGACAACGAATAGCTACCAACGATTACTCCGTCAATGCCAGGAAGGAAGGTCGGTAGAGCCACCAAGTACTTTTGCCGCCCAACAGCTCTGCGTTTGCCTCAACCCCCGTTTTCTTGGAGCCCGAACTTCTGTCATTCTGGTTTTTCCTTTCAACTACCAACACGAACACCCACCCACAAGATTTCAAGAAGATGGCTCGCTTCACCATGTACCTCGCGCTCACTGCTTTTGTTCTTGTAACTCCCGTTTCGGCCGTGATTGGCGATGCTGTTGATGCTGTCGGGGATGCAGTTCAAGATGCCTATGACACGACGGCCAGTTGGGTGGATGGAGCGGCGGACACTGTGAGTGATACGGCTGAAGATGTCTACAATACAACCTCGAGCTGGGTCAGCGACGCCGCGGATACTGTAGGAAGCGCTGTCGAAGACGCGCACGACACCGTTGCAAGTGCCACGGGCTCCATCATTGACGATGTCTCTTCCGCGCACACGCTAGCAGTGACCTCGGCGACTATTTTCGCGTTTATCGGGCTAGCCGCTGCCACCTTATAAGCTGCCTATGCTTAACAGTAGCCAAGACAGATTCGACGACGCCCGCTTTCGTATCGACAGTATAGAACTTTCATGATATGAATGCAATAGATGAGGCTTTGCCGTTCCCGTTGCGCTGTTTTCAGGTGTATAAAGCTCGAGTACGTACTAAGAGAGCTACATGAGCGAAATACACACACAGAGCTGCTTCAGCTGTGTCATACAAACCAAGATTAGCTGATCGACGGTGTGCAAAAATGAGAACCTGAAAGAGACCTGGTTTGCATTTGGGGCTTTCTATTGAAAATCCCTTTCAGAGCGGATACCCCGTTTCGTTAGGAGCATGCTTCTGGTCGCGATATTATTTTGTCGTAATACCTGAAGATACAACTTTCCAACAGCTCCATCACTGCTGGCTACATCAATTTTCTAGTCTACATATACCATGATACTTACTTGTTCTTTGCTCTCACCAAGTCGTAACTATCGCAACGTGGTTTTTTCACGCAAGTTCCTCGTTGTACCTTCAGTGCTGAAAGGCTTCAACTTCGACAAGACGTCCAGTGCAATATGCAAACATTGCGCTGCTACATACCTTTCGTCGATTCAGCTACGTGGCCGTTTCTCACTGCAAAGCAGAGGTTAGGAAGTGACCAAACTTCATGCATCTTGGTACTGCAAAGTATGTAAGAAACCCACGCAACATGCCTCATGTGTGATGCACATACAAATTCGTGCGTGGCTGAACTTTTCTATGCGCGACTGCAACTTGATCATCTGTATCGATTAAAATCCATTTGTGGGAGCATACGTTCAACGACACAGTCTATCTCGCGCGTGGTGCAGTCCAGCCTCCTCTCCCCTACGACAACTCGCTCATTCGTGAATTCGCCCCCGACATCCACAGCACCAGCTTCTTTCCGATCTCCACACAAAAGATGCGTGTTCTTTCGTGCCTCGCCCTCGTCGCTTTCGCCGCCGTCGCGACCGCGGAAAACGCCGTGGTGGACGACCTCGTGAACAGCGTCACCGATGCTGCAACCAGCGCCGCGGGTACTGCAGTGAGCAACGCTGCGAACACGGTGACCGACGCCGCCACAAGTGCAGCTACCGATGCTGCAAACACCGCTGTCGACACGGTCTCTAGCGCCGCTGGTAACACGGTGGACTCGGCCATCGACACGGTTGCTAATGCCACCGGAACCGCGGCGGACACGGTCTCCAGCGCCGCCGATGCCGCCGGCAGTCTTCTTGACGATGCGGCCAGTATCGCCAGCTCGCTCGCTGATGATGTGGCGAGCGCCGCTGGATCCATCTCCGCCTCGGGATCCTCCGCGGCACCCTCGATGTGCCAGTCATCTGGCCTCGTCATGGCCGCCCTCGCGGTCGCAGGACTCGCCCTCAACTTCGCCTAAGCTTGCGGTATGAAGTACATGTAGATAGATACCCAAGACAGGTAAAGCGTGAACCCCAATTAATTCAAAGTTAATCTTTCAGAGATTTATTTTTGGTCAATGAGAACTCATATAAGTAAAGTGTGAACTCGTATAAGTAGACAGAAGTGTGTTTAAAGCTGATTAAGTAGCCACAAAAACAATCGGACTTACTTAAGTAGCATCTAAAAAAAAACTAAAAGAAGCTACTTAAGTAAGTCCTTGAAATTACAAGTTTCCTGATAGGCAATTGAAAGCAACGCTTGCATTTTAAAATAGTCTAACAAGTTTGTACGCAGTACCTGCTGTCAAGGCTAAACCTGCGCCTACTATTACCGACGAAACGTCAGCGACTACCGGATGTGGACACATTGCTTGTTGCTGCAAGAACAGAACGAAGACAGAAGGAGAGCCATCCCAACACTTATAAAAACCATGTACGTGCTTTTTTAAAATGATATCGTCCAGCGGAGGGCACGCTCGCTTTGAGGACGACTCGAAAAATTACTCTACACCGGACTACGTCAAGTCGTGGTTCCCATTCCATCGTGGGCGGAGCCGCCCTACACGCCAGGGCGACCATCTTAGATAAAGAGTCCAGTGATTGCGATCGCAGCCACCGACGCGAGTGCGATGCTGGGTGTCACGTGCGAAGAGGCCGATGAGCCCGACGCCGCTGCAGATGCCGAGGCGGAGTCCGATTGCTTGGCGTTGCTACTGCCTGCACTCGATTCTGATCCCGACGCGCTGATGCTCGTCTCTGTCGTCACGTTGCTGATGCTGTCCGAAATGGCGGCGGCCGTGTTCGTGTTGGTCGAGTCCGTGAGGGCGGCGGCGGTATCGGTCACCGTGTTGGCGGCGTTATCCACCGATTCGGGCGTCGTGGAAGCTTCTTGGTTGGCTTGTTGGGCAATTTTGTTCGGGTCCGGAACATCGTTGGCCGAAACGGGAGAAGTCACCGCTACGGCGGCGAGGGCAAGAAGTGCGAGGTACGTCGTGAAGCGAGCCATTCTGAGGGGTTGTCCGTGAGCCGAGGCTGGTAAGGTACAGGTCGAGCGTCTACCGTAGCGAGGCCCTGTGCTGTGGGGCGGTTTCTTTTCCGAGTGAGCCACGGATAGCAAATTCCCGTTCCACACAGTAACATGTGAACGACGGGGTGACCATCTCATGAAGCCGTGCATGAAGTGGTAAAGCTGTGCGAGCCCAGTGCTCTGGACAACCGGCTATCTCCATCTGCTCGCGCCGAAGATGCAAGTCGGGATGCGAAGACTTGGATGCACGCCCGGTTATGGTGATATATCATAATAAAAGAAAGGTTTTGTAAGTACTTGCATTTCTTTTTGTATGGGCTTCATCCCCGCGATTTAAGATATTTTGTGAAAATGAGAATCCAGCAATCCATAATGGATAGCAGGTTCTCTCTTCACTTGGAATTTGGCGCAAAAATTAGTAATTTCCGGAATAGTCTATGGAGCGCGTTGGACGCGGCGAAAATTATCCTCGGCATTTGCTGCCTGTGTGTCTGCCAGACATGTCTGGGCCAGAGTCTCGACCTTCGACGATCTGCTGACCCAGCAAACGGCTGCAGTGCTGGTCTATAATACAGAAGAGAACTTTGCACCTTTGCACGTGTCGTGTCTTGTGCAGACGACAAAACGCAGCAGGAGAATTCATTCATCGATCGTACAATTATGTGGACGCCGCTTTCGATACTCGACCTTGCTGTCTACTCGGACGGTGCGCTTTGCATCAAAGACGCTTGGGGATGCCACCCAGTATATTAGCAGGAGACATCGAGTTCAAAGGCTCAAATCACCGAGTGATCACTACAATATCGAACTACAATACCGGCCAATTGTCGACACCACAGTCCACTCGGACAGTGCTCTGAGATGTTTTGAGCATGCCAGTACGCCTAGTGCCAATAGTAAGTTAGAAGTCATTGAGCTCAAAAGCTCGAAAGTCCGAGGCTCGAATCGAACCACATGCATTTCGATAGAAAGTCCTTGCAACGCTGCAGCGAACAGCAGCGGGAAGTTGAGGGGCACTTCAACATTCACCACCAAGTGAAGCCATCTGGCACACACTCTGATGCACGCCCTAATAAGCTGAACCTGCATGTAAGCCAATCTTCGCTGTAGAATACGGTATTGGCTGTGAAGGGTCTCACACTCTGAGCGTTTTTTTTTTTACTGAGATGGACATAAACCTACGTGTGAGCGCTCAAAGGCAACTAGCGCTCGAGATGCAAAAAAAGTTTTGAACTTACGTATCGCGAGCAAGACGCGTCTAGCCTACCGGTATCATATTCTTAGCCATTATAAGGGGTACAAGTAGAATGTCACTGCACGATGGCTCGGGTGTTTCAGTGCTGTTTATTGCAACTGTAAAAACACATCTTGCGGTGACGAATTGACCTCTCCAGGCACGGTTTCTTGATTTGCGAACGACTGGAGCCCACCGATGTTGAAGTGGTCTCTGAGTCAGCACATCTGGAGCTCATGTCGACTTGAGTGACGACTGCAATGTAGCCGGGTAAGCACCTGGAGTCGTGGAGCAACAACGTGGCCTGGAGCAGCGAGCGTAGCCACCTGGAATTGGCCTGACCTCGGGCCGCGGCGCGAGTTGATTTGTGCTCGTCCAGCTGGCTGAAATGTATCGCAAAACAAACGATATATCCTCGCGAGGAATGTCTCTCAGCGTAGGTAATTGCCCCATGCCGTACAAAGCGCATTCAAACTCGGTGCGAACTCGCCATAGATCGAACATTCCCACTGGAAACACGCCAATATTTTGCCGTAAAATGCCACCGTCGATATCGCGAAGGAAACGTGATATTGCCGCTGCAAGTGCGCCGCAACTCGCGGTGCCTCAACGTGCGCTGGATCACCAAGCAAACAACCGTATTCAGAGGTTCGCACTGAAGTACCAGCACTTTGAGCGCTAAAAATCTCTCCAGGTCGTGTAAATCGGTGTCCGTTCCAGGGCAATCGAGTTCCCGTTGCTGCAAGACGGAGCATGTATCAAGTATTATTGCCGTGGCGTGCGGTAGGCATCTGGCCCAAACACGCCGCTCCATCCAGTAGCGGCGGGCAGTCAAACCTGTTCGTATCATTTTAGGCCCTACACCTCTCAGGACTTCAGTAATTAATTTCCACAGGTCGCACTTACCGATGTCTTTACAAACAAGTCGATGTCTTAGTCAATCTATGTGGACGCGTCTCATGTAATGAATAAATATCATTTATTGAAGGAAGAGGACAACACTTGATTTACCAGAAGACAATTTTTATAGCCTCTGTAAGTCTGGGGTTTGGCTGATTTCTTCCACAAGGACGGCCGCTTTTGACCCCAGCAACAGCCATGACGATCTTCTCGGACGACCTGTACCATGTGAAAAGCTCCATAGTGCAAAAGCTCATTGCTCTTTTCGCAACATCTTGCTCAATGTGGGTACTGGACCTCGGCACTTGTGCAATTCACATGGACAACAAGCCACACCGTTACCAGCCAACCAAGAGACAGCGATCGTCTCCCGACCAGCAAAGTGACATTGACCAATACAACTCCGACACCACCAATGAAGAACCACCTAAAAAGCGAACACGTCGAGTTGTGGACTCCAGCACCACGTGTGCACCTGAGCAGTTGCACTGCCGCTATGCCAACAAAAAGTGTCTAAACCCACGCGCCGTTAAGCGCACAGGCGGTTTGCACACCTTTTGTGCCATGCACCGCGCCAACGCCAACCGAAATCAGCGTCGTCTGGACATGCGTAAGCGCATGGCTCGACAAGCCTTGAGAGCTCAGTCCGAGGCCGGTCAAGAGCCTTCGATCCCCACTGCAACTACCCCTCGACACCAATCAGCTTCGAAGACAGAAGCTGTCGCGTCGCCTTCGTCTCCTCCAGGACAATACGATTCTCGCTTTGAACCGCTGCAGACTCCCACACCACTGCAGGAAGAAGACATTTCGACTTTGGTGACGCTGTTTCTACCCTCGGGGACTGCTGCGTTCGATTTTTATGCTAACGCCCCGATGGCTCCCACGACGCCTTACGACTGGTCTTCCTCGACTAGTACTGGCGGAAGAACTTCATCGCCGCCACCGCCGCCTTCAGGCGGCATGCGGTTTTAAACACTGTACACGCAGAACGAAACTGCGTAGATAATATATATTTAAGAAAAACAAGAGTTTGGTGCTGTAGACAGGAGCAATTGTCGTGCTTTGTCTCTGGCTCGTGTTGAGCGTTGTGGTCCTTGCATTTTAGTTCGAGCTCAATACCTGAAAGACGTGGAATACGTGTATACTGGTAATGTTAAATGATGATATGTATCACAGCGTGATTTCTATTCGATCATGCCCATGTTGACCGACGCTATGAAGGACGTGAATCCTATGCGAATTTACACGGCTTCAACCTTCAGTCGTGGGGGATAAGATGGAGATGAAGCGTGATTTCGTCACGGCTACCGATAAATACGTTCTATCATGACGATCCATTATTGTACACTATTATCCTCAACTCAGCTTCAGCTTCATCTTAGTCTTATTATTCGATTATCATTTCGGTGGTAGTCGTCACCACGCTGTCCTTGTCTGATGTCGCTTGGTGCTCATTGTCATGCTCCAGCTCGTTAGATGCATACACGCTTTGCTTCAAGCTTGGAGCGCTGAGTTCGTGTGACGCCTTTGGAGTCACTTAAGTGCGAGCCATCTGCTACATATATATCGCTTCAACCTCGGAGTGCTGCTTACAATCTCCATGCTTGGCTTAATCGAGCGCGTCGCATCGACTAATGCCGCAGACGGCGCTGACGTTAGCACAGAACCAACTTCTCCACTGAAGCGAGGCAACGAGGCAAAACTTGCAGACTTGCAGACTTGCAAACTTGCAGGTTTGGGCAGAGCTAAGCGAACTGCAGTGGCCAAGAGTCCAGTTCGAAGGATGCCGCCACGATGAGCGGACGCAACAAAAGTTCAAGCCCCCTGCCGCGCCAGAGGCATGAATGAATGCTTCACCTCCCTGTCTGCAAGCCACTCGCTGGATTTTTTCGCTCCTGGCTGCCGCCGCTGGTCGAGCTGATCCCAAGTCTGAACCAGAGACCAAGCCAAAGCCCAGCGACGCGAAGGAGGAAGCCGTATCGCGACGCCACGAAGAAATCAGGTGTCGCGAGCTCATTCGACTGAGCGGTGCAGCGACGGGATCTCTTGGGCGGCTTCGCTTGAAGCGCGGCAAAAACGCCGGAAGCGCGCCACGCTGGACAACGATCTCGTCGTCAAGTCCAGCGCAGCACTACGAAGACGAGCAGCTCCAGGCCGAGCGACCTTGAACGGTGGCTTCATATAGGCCGGCAAGGCCTGCAGCCCACGTTGGCACATGGGATATCATCGCGAAGCCGCCAGATCATGTTCGATCACGACGCCGCGTCCATCTCACCGCGACCCGACCTTGAACCAACCCGGCTTCTATAGTACACGATATCGGTGATCGCAGGCTCCTACTCCTCTCGCAGGTCACCACTCAATACAATTCCCCTTTCAACTAGTCTTTTGTAGCTATATAATATAACAGACCTATTCGTTTTCGCAGAGAAACCATTTGACAGTGGCTCCAGTCACGGTGGGACCCCCATCGCGTCGAGCAAGTGGCCGCAGACGGGCCGCTCTGATACAAACTTGCACTGCATCTGGACTCCTCGCGTCAAACCCCAAGTTGTCGTGCACCAGCCACACCCTTCGCTTCTCTCTGCTCGACCATGGACCACCTCCTCAACGACGCGCCACCCGAGGACGCCAGCGACGAGGTGATCGTCAAGAACGAGGCACCCACCGTCGTCAGCCCCAGCAGCTCTGCCGCCAGCCTCGGCCTTCACATGCTCTCGGTGTCTGCCGCAGCTCCTGCTCTGGGCGCTCGCCCTGCGGCACCTCCACGCCTTCCGCCCATCAGTCTCCTGACGGCCGCGGCTGCCGCACTGCAGCCCATGCAGTGTCAGCCGCTGTACACGCAGGCGCCTCCGCAGCCCCAGCTGCGCCCCGTCATCGCACAGCCGCTACCGATTCCGGCCGCCTCGCCGCCGGCCAGTAACGCCGCGCTCCCTGCAGACGACATGCTGTGCCGCTACCGGAACAAGAAATGCGGCTACCCGCGCGCAATCAAGCGCAATGGCGAGCGCCACAACCTGTGTGAACGCCACCGCGCCAAGGCCAACCAGAACCAGCGCAAACTCGAGAGCAAGCGCCGCACGCAGAAGCGCATGAAGCAGCGCGCGCACTCGCTCAGCGCTGACCGCATCGTCAAGGCCAAGAAAGCCGCTTCCTCGGCTGAGACCGAGATCAAGTTCACGCTCTATGGAGGGGCCATCGCATGAGCGGGAGATGACAGGAAATTCAAGTGCTTTAAAGACTTGGAGGTTCGAAGTGAAGAACCTCTGTGATGTCAAAAAGAAAGTAGATGCGACAAAGGGCTCGTGCCACGTAGTGATCGAAATGCAAATTCTGCTATAATTTATGAATGATGAAGTTGATGCTGGGAGCTGGAGGATGAGGCACATGTAGCTTGTTGGAACTGAGGTATACTGAAGATTGTGAGTTGGCCTGCTCCGCCGCAGCATTAAGCTAAAACGAACCAAGAATGATCAGATTTCCAGGGTTTTGTTTTCGCCAAAAATTAAAAAAAAAAAAAATGATCTTTTGGTGTTTTCCATTTAAAAACAGTTTTTGAAATGAAGACGTTTTGAAAAAAGTATTTTAGCATTTCAAAATTTAAAAGAAACACTTTTTTATGTGCATTAAAGAATTCTTTTTAGAAAAAGTAGTTTGTTTCTTAAAAAAAAATACTTTGAACGAGTTGCATTTCTTGGAGTTGTTACGGTATGTACTTCTTTAGTATTGACAGATATTATAATATTATAATATTAAATATCCAAATATCCAGAGCTTCTCGGGCAGCACGGCATTAGTTTAAAGATTAATTTGCATAATGGAGCGATTCTCGTAGGATCTGTCGGCCACGATTTCGGACAGATTTCGGCTAAATGGCTATAGAACGGCCAATCATCGCACGTGGCAGGAATAATGCTCTTGTGTAGTTACCCCAGAATAGAAATATTTGACTTCAAATGTTTTCGATTTTACGGTTGAGGGGTGAGAGGGAATAATATCATGGGTTTGTACGTGACTGGTCTATGGGAACCGCTAATTTATTCCTGTTGAGGGAGTATTCCAAGTCTAGAGATTACTACCGAGGGGATCGTCTATAGTTGTAATTAAGAACATTCTCGAACCCCCCTGATGTGATTAGTATCTTCACTTAAGTAGTTTTTTCTCACGCAAAAAAAAATACTAGTAGTGCGGATAATACTATGGCTCTTCCTACTGTCACCAAAATGCAGCATAAAATGGATGTTCGAGCAACTTGCCAGCAAATTATACTCCCTTCCTAAACCCCTCCGCGGGAAGAACGAAATTTGTCGGGTTTAGCACTAAACCCTCTTGGTGGAGCTCGTACTCGTGAGCCTAATCTTGCAGCGCTGCGCACAGCGCTTGATCTCACCTGCTTTACGTCTCAACAATTCACGCTGGATTTGAGATTCATTTGCGTACATCTTATTTTGCCCGTTTGTGTTATTTTGGGGGCATGGTAGACTCAGCGCTGCGAAATTAAAATTATCGATTATTCATACAAGACCTACCTGGCATATCGTTTTAGGTTAAAGTTTGAGCATCTATCCAAACTAAGGAGATACAATACGCGTTAATACTTACCGAAAAAATTGCTCTCACTTATAAAAATGAAGACAAACAGTTTTAGTGTTGCTGTGCAATAGCCCCTTCACTATCAATATAATTTAAAGAATCTTGGACCCAAATTAATACTTTAACTTTAAAAGCCCAATGCACTATTTCAATAATTTGGTTATATGCACCCTGACAGAGACCACGTCTGAAATACCGATACTTTCTTCAATAAACGTTCGGGCATCTTAGAAAAGTTAAAGAAACATGCATACTGTCTACATCTACCAAGATCACCTCTAAAAAAAGATTATTCTCGCACCTGTTTACTTTTCAGTACAATCCGGATCAAATTTTAATTTAAAAAAAAAACTTATAAACAATTAACGCTAAGCTTCCTCCGTTGTGGCATTAAAAAAGAAATATCGATCGAGTCGCCTATTTAATGCATACTAAGGTATTAACACGCATCGCCTGTAACAGCCTGAATGGGCTTTACACAAACCCCAGCAAGAAGACGTTAATCAGCAATAAAAGTTGGTACTAAGTACACAAGTGCACATGCACTACTATCGTCAAAGGGTTAACGTATAACAGAGCATAACGACGATTTTACGCTAATACTAGCACCCAAATAGCCTCTAAATTGACCCGAGTGGGCATGTGGCGAGCGATTGCGGCACATTATCAGGCGTGGCCGTCTATTTGATTTTTATGTTTTCGCTATAGAAGCCTTGGAAACATATAAGACGCGACTTGACGCCGTTCGTCTGTTCTATCACTCTTCTTGGTTGGTCTTGCAACCTAAACCGCTTCAGGTAGACCTGAAGGAGGCTGTATAGTGGTGCTGTCCTCTGGATGTGGATATCTCCATTGAATTTTATTTTTGTTAGCAGTTTGACGGCTTCTAGGTCGGCGGCCTGCGCTGGGGTACCCCATTGCATTGGTGAAGCTCTCTTGAGCTAAGTTCTGCTTCGGTGCTTTCAAAACTCTGAAACGCTTTTTTTGCGTCGCTTTGTCCACACTATTGATGCGCAGATTGGTGTCCGAAGGCTCACTCAACTTGCTGAGATATCGGCATCCTTGCGTTAGAATTGATGCTGCGTTGGCTTGAAGTAGAGAACATCGCCGGTCTGGTCGATTAAGCTTGTGTTAAGCTTTCGAATCATGTATGATAGAGGTATGTTTTCCTTAGACCAGCCGTACAAATCAATTCGTGCTAATAATAGTAGCCTCGTACATATGTAACCTTAGACAGCTCTTGCGTTTACTTATACCTGCTCGTGATAGATGGAGAACATGAACGAGGCCTTAATTATAGATGTCCACAAAACATTTAAGAAGCAAAACATAAGTGGTCGAGCATATGAATGCAGGCGAGATTTGTGAACGCACAGCTTACAAAAAAAAAATAATTGCAACTAAACAAGCGTTTTGCTGAGCGCTCGAGCCTGAATCAGTAATATAAAGGCTTGGGATTCCTTCAAGTCCTTGGAAGTGCTGCTCGTCAGCTTCAGTTTGGACCTGAGTCCTGCCGTTGTCAAGGATCCATCCACGAATTGTCCAAAGTACTTTTGAGCGAATTCGTTTTCGTCGATCTTCGTCAGCAGAGTCTCTGTGGTTTTCTTCATGGTCGGAGTCTTGGCTTTTGCGACGCCGTTGATATACATACGAGTCTGTACCAAACCGGTCAAGGCTTCGTATTTCGTCGTGTCAGGAGCCATACCCTTTGTGATTCCCAGCTTGGACTGCAGTGTTGGGATCGACCACTTCTCATCTACGAACTCCTTGAAGAACTTTTGAGCGATCGGGTTTCCTTCGACCCGGCCTAGTAGATTATCTTTGAGAGAACTGCCCTTCGTCTTCGAGAGCATGGTGTTCCACGCACGAGCCTGCATCAACAGTATCAACGCTTCATACTGTTTTGAGCTCGTCGAAGTTGCCCGTGTGATTCCCAGCTCTGTCCTGAGCGCCGCTTGTGTTAATGTGTCGTCCATGAATTGCCCAAAGTACTTCTGAGCGAACGGATTCTCATTGATTTTTGCCAACATGGTCTCTCCGTTGGTCCGCGTGGCAGGATTTTTGACTTTCATGAGAGTGTCGACGTACATTCGAGTCTGAAGTAGCGCGGTAAAGGCTTCGTATTCCTTCGAGGTTGGTGCCATATCCTTCGTTATTTTCAGTTTGGTCTTGAGTACGTCCACCGTCCACTTTTCATCTATGTACTGCCCAAAATTCTTTTGAGCGAGTTGGTTCTGGCTCAGCTTCGACATGAGATTCTGTTCGAGATTCTTGACCTTCTGAGACTGAGCTAGGGCATCGTCGACCTTTTGGAGCGCTCCAGTGTTTTTCGTGAAACTCGGCAGCTTAGACAACTGCTTCACTAAAGTGTCGGCAATTCTCCTCTCCTCGTCCGCTGGGTTCATGTCGCCATTGCCTTCATCGTCCTTGCCTTCTGTCGTGGAAATGCGCAGAGACCTCCTGTCATTGCGTTTTGGCTGGGAAGCTGGGATCGACTGCACTGTGTCCGTCGAGAACGCAGCGGAGAGCGTGACTTGGTGCGAGTCAATAACTACCGAAGCCGTATTGCAGCCTCCGACCAGAATAACGACAGCAGCAAGCAGAATGCTGCTTGAACGCATACTGAGTAGAACGAAAGTTTGCGCTGTTGGTTGCGTGAAAGCAAATTGCGATGTGAGTATTGCGAACCCTCTCCTCTGACTTCTCTATCCTTGATGAGTCCAGTTACACGAGACGATCGAAATACTGAGCATGATGCTACTACTGTATAATACTAGACCTTCCGCATATGCGTGTTATTGTGTGCCGCTAACTTTACGGACTGTAGAGCTGTCCCATCCAGGATTGCATCCAACTCCAATCTCAAGGTATCTTCGTGCAGTTGCAGTTGACCCTGCCAAAACCGAGACAGAGGTGTGTGATCGACATCAACAAGTTTAGGTTTATACTCCGGAGCCACTGTACCTAACGGGTCAATTCATATTGACCCGTTAATAAAAACAACTCGTTTCTTGAGCCACCATGCTCTACACCTTCATATATGGTATATGTGGTCCCAGTGCAGCAATTCATTAGGCTTCTCAGCACGGAGGGCTTCGCCTACCGGTATTTTAATGCCTCGCCCGATATTAAAATAGCCGGCGAGGCAGCATAGACTATCCCGTGTACTGCCGTAATGTAGACAGCTCTGGGCGAAGTAAGTAACGTCCTTGTCAATATATTTCGACTTATGAGAGCCGCACGTGCTGCTAAAAGCCCTGTATCGTGGAGTACAATGGTTTTACGTTTGTAGATGCCTATATACCATATATTTGAAGCACCAAGACTCATACTGTATATTGATACGTACTTATGACACACTCTTTGCTCATTTTTGTTAGTAAAACGCTAAATATACCTAACATGTTCGAAGAGTTAGAACAATCTGGCCAATAGAACACGTCGCAATCCGTAAAACAATCCTGGGTAGGTCATTTGTCGTGTTAATTTGGGAACCTCCGGACCAAACGAGATTTGCTGCAGAGCAAGTTGGATTACGTCTCTAATTACATATGCAGCGGGAGAGTGATACATGTAGGGGACTTGGCATCCGTGGCCATGGCTCTTTGAATCGATGAATTCGTCTAGAATTTCGGTCACAGGGTCATTAGGTTGTACGACAGGTGTCATTTGATACAGGAGGATGGTGGTAGCATTGTCCGCGCAGCAAACACTGTTGTGGGTGATGATTCAGCGCTTCCGGGCCCGTTCGGTCACCTTGTTAATCGTCCATTTTTTTTTGCTACAGTCTCATTAATACATATGCTGGATGCTGGTCAGTCTCACTTTTGCTCTGAAACAAATCTAACTTGGTCTGGAGCATAATTTTTTTTTCTTACAAGTTACGAGCCCTGGTAAATTGCCGCAATCGTCCGTCCCGGATTGGTCTGGCGACTGTCCCAGTTTGGGAATGGTGTAGTTCATCACCGGTCACCTCGTACGCAAAAGTGGGTACAAGCAATGGCCGCCTTATACATGTACACGTAGCTCGGACACTAACGTTTCCGAGCGTAATAGTGCGAACTTAACGAATTTAAGGTATACCGGAACCGGGTAGTGTGAACTTCCCAATTGACCATAGTAAAAAATGAACATAGTGTACCGTAATGATAACGCCTAATAAACACTGCTTCGTCTAGATGAATGCGCCTGACGATCCTTCAAGTCTTCGTCAAGTTGAATGCGCCTGACAAATCTCCGTAATCGTTCAAACCGTCGTTGAATTGGGTGTTGGTGAGGGAATTTGACAGAGTACAGGAACAGCTTTCGATCAAGTATAGTAAGTTGGCCATGTAATTCATCTCTGATAGTAAAAGGGTAACCCTTTTACAATACTACCACAGAATAATTGGGATCGTGCTAGAGCAACCGAAGATGAAATGAAGAAAGTGTTCACAAATCGTTGATGATGATGGGTGCGGTCTCTTTTGTGTATGATGGTAAAGACTGGTCGCTGGAATATATTACGACAACGCCGTAGTTTACGGCATTTAATGTACTTGTATACAAGATGCATTCTATAAGATGCACTGGCTTAACCAAATCATTATATATATAGCGCACATATTATAAACGCTCACAAATAGTGTAAGATTAAGTATGATGCTGACATTTTCATATATTTAGAGTTGAGGTGGATGTACTCAATTAACAAGAAAATCTCTAAGTCGAAAGCTTTTTGTGAAATTTTGGTATTTATTCTTCAACACTGAAATATTACAGAACAAGCTGTGTGTCTGTTCACTCACTAACTTCGTCGATGTCTACACTCAAGTGGCCCTGAAGCCGAATCACTTTGTGCAAGTAGCGCATTCGCAAGTACCCCACTTCTTCGTAAAGAGAATCACTCCAATAATCACTCCAATTCTCCAGTGTTGCTCCAAACAATAGTAGCTCAAGCACTACCAAGCATCATAACCCACAGGAAGAGTTATCCATCTGCTTACACCCGGAGATAACGTCAAATTGGAGCTGGTCTGTCATGTTCAGCATCGTCCCCACAACTGTGCGTACCGCGTTTTTCAGTGAAGTCAGGTTGCTCTGCAACTGCAACGGATCGAATAGAAAATATCGCTTTTGGTGTACGTCAATAAAGAATGCACCCCAGTGGTAGCCGAGATTGACGATACTGACGACGCTCTTGATACCAGGGTCCGCTGCTCCAAAGGATCGGGCCGTCCGACACCTTTGCCCATCGTATCAAAGTCCAAAAACGTCGGATTGACAATGCCAACTCCTTCGTACGTCTCCCTTAGAGCGAAAAGAGCGCCGGTAATGGAACTGGAGTGCAACCACAAATTCTCACGAAAATCGAGGAACTCGCTGCCATATTGGACGTGCCTTCCGATGTGCCATTTGCCTAGGTTCATGTCTTCAACAGCGTCCTTGTGGTCACCCTGTTCAGCATACAACCACGTTTGTATTGTGTAAGTTCTGTAGCGTTTCTGTGTGATTTCGGTAATCACCTTTGTTGTATCCACCGTGTCCTTGAACGGCTTCACGACACTATCCACTTGAAACTCCACTCGATCTATCCATTCGACAGTCGCTTGCACGAGTTTGAAGTTGTTTCTGGCTGATGACTTCCCCCATGAGCTTCAGTTGATCGTAGGTAGCACACCCGTAATTATCCCACCGTGCCAACAGGTCCGTATTACCTTCTCTCTCTATTGCCTTAATTGCTTGGAGTATCTTGTCCGCCTGGGGGATCGCTTTGATGACAGGTACTGATTGTCCGATGTTGAAGTTGCGCACTTCTAACACAACCTTGACTTCAACAGGCGGAAGGTTCAACTTGTCGACAAGAGGTTTCATCTTTCGGCTGGTATATGGACCGGTCAGGAGCTCCATTTGTGATAATTTGACTGCACACGTTTTCTTCCCCTCTCGAACAGCGGCCGCAATTGCTTTTACTTCCTTCATCTCTCCTTCCGAGATTCTTGTTTTTCAGAGCACGTTTTGATAAACCTTTTCTCTTCGGAGGCGAGCCAAAGGCAATTGGTGCTGCAGCGCTACCTTGTACAGCACTCGAGGCTGAGCCCTTGCCATCTTCCGCGCTTAAGGCCTTCAACGAAGCTGTCGGCAGATCACGTGTAGCCTCGGCGGTCTTCTTTACACGGATTGTGTCATGTACAACGGAAGAAGGCCCCTTGTCTTCGAGTAAGGCGTCCGCACTTCTCTCCGCAAAGGATAGTAGGGATATTGCGACGCTATCGGATACTGAGATTTGGGAGAGGCTGGGAAGTCCAGCGGAAGACGGGATCAAACCTCGCCCTTGAAATTCCTCTAGTTTACCAGCGTGCCGCGCTGTGTGGAAGCCCTCCACCCAGGGCATTGCCAAGCGGTATGTCGTTGAAGGTTGAATCGACATAACATCGTTGATCTTGTCGGTAATCTGCTTGCTGGGGCAATACTTGGTATCCCTATCGACAGGCGGGAGAACACGAATTGGCGGGCAACTGACACGGTTGAGACCACCGGGAACAACAGCACCATCATCAATGTTGTTTGACGGACTCTGTACGATCCATCGGGACGAGAAAGTATGCAGCGGCGGTATAACAGTCTCGAAATTGGCCTTGCTGCGGTCGTACATAACGTGTCGGCATGGTAGAAGACATGTCTGACTAAAGATACAGTCGCATGTGGCAAGCTGGATCAACACACCCTAGTTAAAAGCGCACACCAAAAACACACAGAAAACCAAATATCGACAGAACCTTACCCGTGGGTCAACCTCGTGTGCTGTCCCTGTGGCTGGATTCGTCAACCTCGTCTTCTCGCAGTCCATATCTATGCTGTAGTTAGCCTGGGGGCCCACCGCCAATTTGTACTGGTCCGACACGATTCGGAATGCGTAGGTACTGAGATGTCCAATTGATTTCAGCTCCCGGTCTTCATTTATTTGCACCCGACTCCCCACACGATGCCATTCAGACAGATATCGCTCTTCAGCGTACCCCTGTAGTGTAGTAAGTATAGAAATCAGCTCGTCAATCGTCATGTGGGTGTCCATCACTTCATTAATACGTCCCCACTTCGACTCGAGACGGTTGTTAGTATTGTTCATCAGATGAGGTACGCCGCCACGCTTGAACATCACCCACTTATCCGTCGTCGTATCCCAGTGCTGCATGAAGCTCATGTACAAGTTGTTTTCCTTGTCGTTTCCAGCAACGAATCCTTCAAGTCGTCGTACTTCTCCTGAGATTCAGCGCTCACAATCCCTTTCATTATCACTTTTAGCTTCATCGTTTCCGCCCTTCCCACTCCACCCAAACGAGAGCACTGCTTCTTCAACCAAGTTTCGACATGCCACCGGCAGAGCAACCGTCTCGCATTTGGCCAGGCGTCATGGAGCACTTCCTTCTCATGCATCGCTTTACCTGTCATTACGACTTCAATCTTCGACCACTGCGGGTTGTTCCTCTTGAATGCATCCACCGAAAGAGCAAGGTTTGCTTTCTCCTCCGTCTGCACCAGCGCGTGCTGGACGTACTGGCCCTACAGAACATCAAACAGAAGACAAAAAAAGTTTTTCAGTATATTTTCGGTATACTCATCATTCATAGTAGCTTACCAGGCCTGTAACGGGGTTACACCTGGTGTATTCCACACATGGGTACGGAGTACCCGAGTTAACAAACCTTCAGTACATGACTCGTAGAGTTAACA